GGTCTAGTGGGTTAGAACAGGGGGGCTGGGAACCAGGACTCCTGGGTTCTATCCCCAGCTCTGAGAAGGGCGTGGGGTCTAGCGGCTAGCACACAGGAGCCAGGACTCCTGGGCTCTGTGGGAGCATGCAGATGACAATGGAAGGACACCCCTTTGCCCCCAGCCCTGTGCCATCTGGGGCCGATCCAGCTTGGGCCCTGCTCGGGATGGGACACAGAACGCCGTCAGGGGGGCGCATGTCTGGGACCCGGGGCTCAGAGTTATGGCCTGACAAGGGAGAGGCCACAAGAGCAACGGGAAGGAGGGAAAAGCCCACGACAGAGGCCGGAGATTTTCTCAGGAACTTCAGCCCCCCAAATTCCAGTGGGATTCAGGCACCTTTGGGTCCCCTGGAAACCCCAGCCTGAGCTCGGGGCCCGACCCTGCTCCCACGAGAGTCTGGCCATTGGCTCGGGATCAGCTCCCATTTCCTCTATCCACACGCCCGCAGCCACCGGGCCTGCCTCAGTTTCCCCCAGTGCATTGAAGGCAATTGGGGAGAGGACGGGGTCAAGCTCCTGGAGGGGCAATGGGGAGGGCGACGCTGAGGAGCTGAGGGTGACATTGTGGCCCCATTGAGATGGGGGTGGGGGCGCCCTGAGCAGAGGCTGGTGATTTCGTGACACGAGTGACTCCAGGTTCACTCACAGCTGGGCCCTGGGGGCCGGGCCAAGCCGTTCCTGTGGCTAACGGTGGGATGACCTCATGAACCTGCCTGTGGCGGAGACCTCTGGTGCCTGCCCCACCCAAATCCGCAGGAACGGGGGACTCCAGACAGAGCTGAGATGGGCGTTGGCACACAGCGGAGAGCGCTCGCCGTGGGTGGCTACCCCCCGTCCCCACCAGCCCCCCTCTGCCCTCAGTGGGTTCACACCACGGTCCCCCCGGAGCAGCCAGGAGACATTCCCCCAGCTAATTCGACTGACGACTCTCAGCCCTGACCGGTAGCCACCACTGCTAGCCCAGCCCTGGGCTCCCCACTTCCCAGCCCTGCCGGGGCGCCTCACTCCCGACCCGCAGCCCCTGCTAGCCCAGCCCTGGGCTCCCACCCACCCCAGCCCTGCCAGTGCCCCTCACTCCCGACCCGCAGCCCCCTGCTAGCCCAGCCCTGCTGGTGCCTCTCAATCCTGCCCTATGCCATTAGCTTCCATTAGAGTCCTCACCTGAGTGAAGTGACACAGGTGTGTGAGCATTTTGCAGGATCAGGGCTTAAATTAGCAACCGCAAGAACCAAAAAAGCCAGCCCAGATCTCAGAATCCTTTGCACCTTTATTATTTATTTTTTTTTATTTTTTCAAATCTTTTGAAACCACCAAAAATTGGGGGCTGGTACAGGGAACTGCCTCTCGCTACAACAAGAATAAATATCAAGTCATCCAAAATAGTTTGCATTGAAATTCTGTTTCTCCTACAGACACTGGAGTTTGACACCTAACAAAACTAGTCTAAACCCCCCTCCCTCTACATCAACTTACAAAATAGACTTTTTGTTTTTAAGCCAGTACTTTAGTGCACACAAAAAACAATCAAATTCTTTACAGATATTTATTGTCTCTGATTGTCGGGTTTTTTATTTTTTTTTTGCCCCCGTTTCTTTAAAAAGAAAAACGACTGGAGCAAACCTATGGCTAGGAAAAAGCAAAAAATAAAACATTTCCACAGATAGAGGCGTGAAAATAAAACCAGCTCGTCGCAGGCTGTGGAGACGTGACCTCCTAATGCCGAGGGATGTGGCCACGTTAGCAGCTACGTAGTTGGGGGCGTCTTTGCAAAGGGAAGAGCGGCAGAACTGAAACCCACTGAGGTATCCAGCCGAGAAATAAATAAAAACGGCCTTTGTCTGTGAAGATGGAAACGGGACAAAGAACTACAGAATCGCCCTAAACGAACCTCACAACGTGTCGGGGTTTTATTTACACGCAACAATTCTAAATGAGGCCGGTCAATTCCACAGTGCCCCAGATCTTGTCTCGTCAGAGTCCCCGCTGCAAAGTGCTACCAGAGCCGGAGAGTTTTGCACGGGTGAATGTGATTGCACGAGGCCACAGGAGACGTTCGGGCCCCACAATGAGCTGTAAGGTGGCTGGCTAGGAGACGTGCGTGGCGAGGTGGCTTCTGATGTTAGAACCGTCCCCAGAGCAAACGGCCGCTCCAGTTCACATCTCCAGGAGCCGGGCCCAGCCGGATCTCAGCGGGTCTGCCTCAGGCAGAGACGGATCTGAACCCAAATCCGCTACATCTTTGGGGGAGTTTCTATGCAGCCAGCTTTGGAGAAGGGGAGCAGTCGAAGTGATCTGATTAGAACAGAAAGAGCTGGGTTCTCCACTGTCTTGCACCCACTAGTGCGGAACAGGTGTGGACGGATCCGGTTTCACGCTTTTTCTGCACTAGTGTAAATGCGTGTGCAAGGCAACAGGGGCTGCAAAGCGTCCCCAATTCTCCCCCCTGGAGGGGGGAGGGGAAGCTCTGTGTGAATGCAACGGGGTCAGGTCCGCGCTGCTGGGCTCCGACGTGGCTGGAAATCAGGATGATTCGGGGAAAGCGTCTGGGCGTTCGACAGCGGGGATCCGGGCCGAGTTCCCCCACCTCCTGGCTAGTCACCATCTCAGCTCTCCCCCCCACCCCGCACGAGCCGGGCGAACCCGATCCTGTCCCCCTCCCAGGGACTTCTGCCACCGGGGTCCGAGAGCAGCAGGATCCGAACCCAGGTCGACGGCACCCCTTTCTGGCCCCCGGGGCACGTGCGAAGGGCTCCCAGGATCGGAGCCTCCATGGGGTGGCAAGTTGTGCTTTGCGCATAGACGTTGCCCCAGACCCTCCAAGATATTTCGGTGCCTAACTCCGATGGGAGAGAGATTTTCCAGCCCTGCAAAGAGCCCAAAGGTCTGGTCGCTTGCAACGGGCGGCGCCGAGGCCGGAGCCTTCTAAATCAACGCGTTCCAGTGGATTTGGGGGGGTCGAACATTTGTCGTCACTTTCAAGTTAACCCCCCCCCCAAAAAAAGGGGTTTGCACCCAAAATATCCAGGGGGGAGGGGAAATGGAGGCTAGAATAAAAAGCCACCCTGCAAACAGCCAGGCAGGCCTTGATCCTGGCTTGGGACGCTGGCCTCCCGGCATAGATCTCTCCCCGCCAAGTCGCTGAGTGCGACCCGGTCCCCTGCCCCGCTTGCTAAAGACAGGGGTGTGGCCTGGCCCCCTCTGGGGCGGAGCTCAGCGGCTGGCGTCCCAGCCGGGCAGCCCCTCTCTCTGGCAGGACGTGGCCGGCGAGGTCTCCAGCCAGAGGAGACGGGACCTCAGTTTCGGACGACTGGACTGTGGGCAGCTGAACCTGGAGCCGATTCAAACCCGATGCTCCCTAAGCCGTCCTTGCTGGGCTGGGACTTCGGCACACGCCCTTCGCCCTGGCCCTCAGCTTTGCCCAGCACAGAGCTGTCCATCCACAGATCCCCTGGCCCCCCGCAAAGGGAGGGCGCGACAGAAGGGGAAACTGAGGCACGGGGTGGACCATCTGACACCCAATCATTGGCAGGGCTGGAAATAAAGCTGAGGTGAACTGACGCCCGGGGCCCACTTCTCTAAACCTCGCTCCCTTCCCAGCACCGGAAAGAGAACCCAGGAGTCCTGGCAACACATGCCTTGACCTAACTGCTCCACCCCAGGCCCTACTTCATTCTTCGCTCAGACCCCCCCCTCGAAGGATCAGGCCAGGGCTAGAGAGAAACCGTGAAAGACAGAAACTGGAGCCCCTCCTCCCCCACATGTGCAAGGGGCAGGGGGGGCTACTTCCCACCCAAATCAGCCGTGGCACTTCCCAGCTCCACCCCTGCAGATCCGGGTGCCACTTGGTGAGCGTGGCACAGACGGGGGAGGCTGCCACGCCAGCCAGCCCCCGCCCCGGGGGGAATCCCGGCTGAGACTCCTTGACAGATTTCGTGTCCGGGGCTCGGGCGGGAAGAAAGCCCCGCGGCGCTGCCCGGCTGCCCCTGTGGCCATGCGGGGTGAGGGTCTCACCCACCGAACGACCAATTAGGGCACGTTTGCGGTTGCTCACCAAGGAAGGGCAAGTCCCCGCCGTGATGCCGGGAAACGGGGGATCCCCCCTCGCTCAGATCCCCGACGCCGGTTCCAATCTCAGTCCAGCGACGGACACGGGTCGGAGCCGAGCTGGTTCAAGGAGGGTGTTACCGGGGAGGGGAGGGACGGGCCTTCGGGGGGGGGGGAGGGGGGAGAAACAACGGACAGGGGGTGTCTCCCTGGCTGCCTCCCGCCACTTCACAAGACCTGGAACTTCCAGGAGCTCTGATCTTTGTAATCCAAGCAGTCCGTGGCGTTGAAGTTGAGTTTCCAAGAGGCCGTCTGATCCTTGTAGTCTAAGCAATCCACCGAGCCAAAGCTCAGGCCGGCCGTGCCGAAGCCCTGGCTGGACAGGGAGGCCGGGGACTGGCTGAGGTGGCTGCCCATGGCCGGGGCGGCGATGGGGCTCAGGGCGGCGCCGGGGGCGGAGAGCTGCGGGTGCATGGGCGAGAGGTAGGAGCCGCAGTCCAGGCCGGTGAAGTAGGAGGAGGAGCCAGCGTAGCTCTGGGGGTAGCCGGCGGCCTGGGTGTAGGTCATCGGGTAGGCGGCAGAGCGCTGCATGCAGGGGGTGGCCGAGGAGGCCAGGGGGTCGGGGATGGGGGAGATGGAGGCCGGGCTCCAGATGGAGACGGTGGCGCTGGCCGTGGAGCTGGGGGTGCCCGAGGTGCCGGCGGGCGGGGGGCTGTACTGCCCGTTGGTGCTGGTTTCCGAGCTGGTCTCCCGGGCCGGCGAGCTCTTCTTCTTGGCCGGGCGCGCCTTAGCCTGGCCGCTGCTCTGCTGCTGCTGCTGGCGGCATTTGGCCCGTCGGTTCTTGAACCAAACCTGCCGGGAGAGGAGGGGGATGAGTCACGGAGCTCGGGGGGGGGTCCCTTTGCCCCGGCCATGGCCCGGCTGTAACAGCCGCCACTGTCCATCTCCATCCCCTCCACAATTCCCCTCACCACCACCCTCCTCCCGCACTGAGAGCTAGGGCGGAACAGAGCCAGCTGTGACTGGCATTATCCCCAGAGCAGATAGGGAAACTGAGGCTGCAGGGGGGAGCCTCTAGAAAAAAACCCATAATATCGGGACCCTGACAGCGTCGAGCGCTGGGGATTTCCTGGCAGGAGCAGGGTAGAACTCAGCTGTTTCTCATCCAAAAGTCACCCACACCCACACACCACCCCACACACACCCCTCCCTCCCCACAATCTTTGCCGAACCTTAGCAGTATAGGGCCTAGGATACAGAGTGGCGCATTGCTGAGTCCGTCCAGCAGACGGCAGTGGTGCACACACACAGACACACAAACACACACACGCTGGCTCATTGCCTTACACTCGGCCTCAAATTTGTCCTCCCCCCGACCTGGTGATGTTTCTCTCCGGTCCTTGAGCAACCTCCGTTCCCAGGACTCATCCCTTCCCAGGGTGACTCACAGCCATTCCGGGTCCCTCCAGTCTGCTGCCTGCCCGGTCTAGTCCCAGACAGCTCCGCTGCCGGACGCCGGGGAGACAATTCCCCCCCCCGCCCATGGGCATCGGCAGGAGGTGGCTATTTTTTGTATCCCTCCGAAAACGGCTGCGAAGTTGCTACCCCGGATCCAGAGTCTTTATTTCCAGCATTAGCAGGCGCAGGGCAGATGTCAAAGATTAACGTCTCCCGCTCCCTGGGACGCTGCCCGGAGTCGAAGAGAAGGGGAAGCGACTTCGAAATCCTGCCAGTGCTATAAACCAGGACTCTGCATTCTGGGCTTAGCCCTTCGCTGTCATGTCGGGGGGTGAACTCGCCCCATACACGTCTCCTGAGAAACCCGGACCCCTTCCTGTAGGACGCAGAGGGAGGGCGGCCAATTATCGGGAGAGCTCACGTGGCAAATTTAAAAAGAGTCCAAATTTGACTGATTTCTAATTTTAAGAAAATGGCAGGATTTCTAAGCCAAATCTCGGGCTCTGTTAACACTCAGGGTTGTCGAGGCGGTGGGGCGTTCTGGGTAGCTGGTGAGTCGGCTCCGAGCTCAGGGCAGCCGGGCTCTGTTTACATGGGAAAGCTAAACTGATTTCACTTAAACCGGTTTATTTAACCCAACGCCAGAGGCCGGGGCGAACACTCCGGTTTCGGTTTAAAAGCGGCTTGTTGGGGGATAAACGTTGGGCTGACGCAAAACTGCAATCAAGTCGCCCTGAGGGGTGATCTCCACGCACGGATTTTGTCCTGGTACAACCAAGTCAGCCGGGGGGTGATATTTACCGAGACAGCCGTACCCCGACCAGTTTTACTGGGATGAAAGCGTCTTAAACGGGAGGTCAGCCACTTTGTAGCTTCTGTCAGTCAACGGTATTGCACCCCCCATGGGCTGTTGGCAGGGACTGGGATGGGGGGTTCAGTAGGAGGCGCTCTCCCAGGCAGGGCTGGCCCCGATGCCCCACGGCAGCGCTGGGGGCGCTGTGCAGCAGGGACTGGGGTGGGGGGTTCAGTAGGGTGCGCTCTCCCCTCCCAGGCAGGGCTGGCCCCGATGCCATCTTCCAGCAGAGATGAACACCGCAGACCTGCCCTCCCGTGGCCACGCTGCGAAGAGTCCAGGTATTTACTCACACGCCCAGCTGGGAGAATCACATTCATCCTCCCAAATCCCCCGGCAGCTTCCCTGGACTTCAGTTCCTACCAAGCCCTGCGAGGTTCATAGCACAGCCCCCTGGCTCCTGTCCAGAGGTGGCCGCCTTTCCAGGCTGGACAAACACCCCCTCTTGATACCACACGCATTGGGTCACGTTTGTGGGGCCCCACAAGGGATGTAAAATCTTGTTCCACCTCCATTGCGAGCTGGGATTTCCCCGGCGGCTGCCAGGAGCTGCACCCAGAACTCAGCCTGCTCCCAAACCCCAGCACGCTGCTAAAGGAGAATCCCCATCGGCTGCCAGCAGTATAGGGCTTATGACACCCAGGTGAGCAGTTCAGATTCCACCCAGCAGAGGGCAGCGGCCAGCCATGGGTGCTCACACATACACACTTCCCAGCAGGGGGCAGTAGTATATACACACACGCACACAGACCCCTGTCTGGCCAGGGGTCGGTCCGGACTCCCATCCTCACCTGCACCCGGGACTCCGGCAGGTTGATCTTGAGCGCTACCTCCTCCCGCATGAAGATGTCGGGGTAGCGGGTCTTAGCGAAAAGCGCCTCCAGAATGTCCAGTTGGGCCCTCGTGAAAGTCGTCCGCTCGCGCCGCTGCTTCCGCGGGGTGGCTGGGGGGGGAGGGGAGACGGTTACACCCGCTGGCCTCAGGGTGGGACGGACACGCCGAGGGGGTTGTCCCCGAAGGGGGGGAGCTGAGGAAGCAGGAAGAAGCGCTCCCCCCACGCATCTGTCTCTCCCTGCCCTTCAGCGACCCCCCACCCCGCTCCAGGGCACGGTGGGGGGTGGGGGCAGGCACTGCATTACCGTAATACATCTAATAAATAACATTCAGTGCCTCGTGCTAGGGGGTCCTGGGCCGCAACTGGGGCACTACCGTAATACACCTAATAAATTGCGTACAGCGCCTAGCACCAGGGGGCCTGGCCCGTGACTGAGGTGCTACCGTAATACACCTAATAAATAATATGCAGCGCCTAGTGCCAGGGGGCCTGGCCTGTAACTGAGGTGCTACCGTAATACACCTAATAAATAATGTACAGTGCCTAGCACCAGGGGGGCCTGGCCTGCGACTAGGGTGCTACCGTAATACACCTAATAAATAATGTACAGTGCCTAGCACCGCGGGGCCTGGCCTGCGACTGGGGCGCTACCGTAATACACCTAACAAATAATATACAGCACCTAGCGCCGGGGGGCCTGGCCCGTGACTGGGGCGCTACTGTAATACACCTAATAAATAATGTACAGTGCCTAGCGCCAGGGGGCCTGGCCCACGACTGGGGTGCTGAGGTGCTACCGTAATACACCTACCAAATAATCATAATCATTCAGCCCTGGGATTTCTGGGCCACTCCACAGCTCAGAGCAATTTGTTACCAGCAAAAGAGACCTTGGCTAAGGCAAAGCCATTGGTAGCTCGGAAGGCAGGAGAGTCTAGTGGTTAGACCACCAGGCTCAGGATCAGTGACCTTGGCGGAACTGGGCCATCGTCGCTCTGTGCCTCAGTTTCCCACCCGCCCAGTGGAGATGATGAGGGCTCCGCCCATCGCGTGGCAGGGGGAGGGCGGGCCGTTATTTTGGCGCGTTTGTTTCAGCGTTATGAGGGGTGGGTGGGTCTGGAAAATCCCCCCAAAAACCCGGGGTGTGATTTACGGAACAGGCCTGCTAGGGCTTGGCCGGGCTGTGTTACAGCCTGTGAGGGGCTCGGATGCTCCAAGGGGGGTCAGAGCCGCCCGTCTCTGTCGGGGCGAAGGCCCCAACAGCCTTTCCCATGGCTCTGTCCTGCAGATCAGCCATTTCCGGTGCAGTCGTTGGCCTGGATGCATGCAGAGCGGGGCCGGAGGATGCAAGGAGGGGGCTGTGGAGATGCCAGAGGGACCCTGGCTGCCCGGGGAGGTGATTTAATTGGCCATTCCGGCTCGGCGCTGCTTTCGTTTGCACAAGTTGCCATGTGGCCATTTGCACCAGGACAAAGTGAGGGAAAAATGCCACCATGAGAGGGTCACTCTCATTGCACTAGGGCGAGTGGGTGTGCAAGGGGCAGTGCACTGCACTGGGCTGGGCGTGCAAGGGGCAGTGCACAGGGGAATTAGACCCTTTAGTGCACCTACTCCTGATTCACACCCGTTGCACTGGAGAGTCAGAGCCTGCGGAGAGTGAGCCCACGGAGTTTTAATGACTAGTGACTTTAGACCCCTCCTTATTTTGAGTCTCCACCTGCCTTTCGGGGTGCAGCCAGGGGGAGATGTTTAGCACTGTGTGAAAATCAGATCTCTTTTAGGAGCCTCAGGTTTGGTCCGTCTAATCCCAAGTCACTTTTGAAACTCACGCCCGTGTGGCCACGCATCGCACGTGACGCACACCCAGACTGCTCGGGGTGCGCGTGCATTGGGACGCGTGGTCGAGATTAGAGGAACCCTGCACTAGGTCACACGTTTGCTCAGCATTTCTCCTGCGTCCCTGCTTAGAGCCGGGAGATCCTATAGCTGGGTCCGGTTCAAAGCCGGGAATCCAGAAATCCCCCGCAATGTTGGGCCAAGCTTGGATCTGAACTTTCTCGCCGGCGTCATCTCTGAGAAACACATTCAGCTTCTCAGTTTGCAGCTTGTGCTGTCATCTGCACCCGGGCACCACTGAGTGTAACACACCAGGGAACCGGAATGACAGCCGTTCGCACCCGCATCGCACGAAGCCGGCTCGTCCCTTGCCAAATTTGAATTAGCTTTAGGAAAACCAAATAAATATGCACAGACATGTCCAAATCATTGCAATTTATTTATTGCTAGCTAGTAAATCTGCTGTGACAAGTGATATTAACAAGGATCACTTGTCACAGCAGACTTACTCAGCCCTGCCAAGCCTGGGGACAAATTAAGCCCTATGGCTGCAAGAAAAGCCCCTGGTGGCCGCATGTGGCCACAGCGGCCGCATTTGAGACACACTGCGAGTCTACAGCCATGAAGCGTGGAATTGTCTAACATGTGTGCACACTAGCTGCATCTGGTAGCTCAAACAGGGTTCGTCTTATGTAAGGGAAAGAGATCCTATTCTAACCCCAAAGGGTCTCAGAACCACCAACCCCAAACATTCAAAAATCATGGGGCAGGTTCCCCAAAAACCATGAGATTGACTTAAAAACCATGAGATTTTAGGGGGGAAAATAATAAACGTTGGGTTCTTTTTATTTGCCTTCTGCTTTTCCAGCCTTCATGATTTCCAATGAAACCTCTAAAACTTTTAGGACTTTAATTAATATATCAATAAAAAAATAAAAATCATAAGAGTATATTTAATTAATATGATTCCATTAATATTTCTAAAGCTTTTACAGCTTTAATGAAGATACTTTTAATAAAATAAATAATAAAATAATATTGAAATTAATCGCATTCTGATTAAACGGCTCAACTTTTTAGGGGGATAATTAATATAGAATTAATAAAATAAATAATAAAATAATGTTTTAATTAATATCATGCTGATTAAACTTCCCAAACATTTGGGGCTTTCCGTATATTAATATTAAAATAAAAAATAAAATGATATTGTAATTAATAACATTCTGATTCAACTTCTAAAACTTCTAGGGCTTTTTTATGCTTTTGTATTTGTTGTGACAATTATGTACGTTAGGGGAAGGGAGAGGAATCTTTAAAAATGTGAGGACATTTTGAGCAACAAAAACCAGGAACAAAATGAATTTACAGTTCTGACAAAAACAATCGAAGCGTTTGCCAGACGTACAAAGCGCATCGCAAAGGTGTTAAAACCCTTGCCTTGATGTTGAATCAAAAGCAAATAAAAGGAAATAGAAGGGCTTCTTTTTAAAAAGGGGTTGAATTTTCTAAACTTTTCCTCTTCCAAAAATGTTTTCCAACACTTTATCCAATTGTTTTAGAGAAGGGTCCAACTCTGCGAGGTTCAGTGAACGCTCACTTCCACGGCCTAAATTCTGGCTTTAGTGAAGCTGTGAAGATTTACCCGTAAGATCTAACTGCAGGATTGGGGCCCTGTTCTGATCAGTTGCATATATCTGGATTTTACATGAGTTTTGAACTGAGACTACCACACACCAGGGGTTCTCAACGTTGTTCTTTCTGAGGCCCCGTAACATGCTATAAAAACTCCACAGCTCAGCTGTGCCACAAGAACTGTTTTTCTGCATATAAAAGCCAGAGCCAGCGTTAGGGGGTAGAAGCAGGACACTTGTCCAGGGCCCCACGCCACAGGGGGCACTGAGAAGTTGTTCAATCTTTGGCTTCAGCCCTGGGTGATGGGGCATGGGGCTCCGGGCTGCAATTCTGCACAGCGGGGCTTTGGCTTTCTGCCCTGGGCCCTAGTGAGTCTAATGCCAGCCATGCTTGGTGGACCCACTGAAACCTGCCCGCAGCCCCCCACGGGGCCCCGGACCCCTGGTTGAGAACCACCCCGCACACCACTAGGGCCTCGTTGCTGGTTTGAGAAGACGGTAGATTTAATCAGATCCATTTAACGTTCAGATTGTGTTTTCTTCCAATCCCACAATTCACTGTCGAGATGCGTTTTTCTCTTGGTTCGTTCGGACACTGAACTGGGCGTCAATTCTCTTTGATGTTCACATTTGGAGTCCCTACCTTTGCCTTCAACTCTCTACTGCTCTTTAGATATTTAGATATTTTGTTTCCTCCGATCAAGTGAAAATACCACGCGGCCCACAATGCAAGAGCCGATTGATACGCACGACTTTAAGTTGTGTTGATCGGCTGGCCGGAGAACAGCAAGGAGATTTGGGGACTTAAATCATATGACATAAACAATGGCATTAAACCCCTATCCTGGGGAAAGCATCCGTGGCCAGGATACCTACTGGGCTATCCGGCTTTTTAGCAATTGATTTCTACTGATGATGCAGCTTAAAGTTTGTAAACAAGTGAACTGCTGAGTTTCCATTTCCAACTCAGCTTGCGTACTGCTGACTTTAAAGGTTGAATAAAGCCCAAACGACAATAAACTGCTTGCAGGCCAGCGTTCGGAGTTTCAATTAGAGGGAGACATGAATGCAAGGAGAGCAGAAAGCCACTGATCACAAATTCCCACAGGCAACCCTTGGGCTCTCAGGTGACCTCTGTCAAAGTATCTCTGAATCATATTCTATGAATCAAACCCCAATCTCTTCTAGGCGACTATTTCACTCTGACAACTGGTCACTCTCCAATAATCATAATGAAAAGGGAAAATAAATGGATCACAGAGAGTGGGTGAAATAAACCAATTATTATACAGTGAGCAAAACACTCTCTAGAATAACTGGCTGATCTCAGTCGCTATAGAATAACTGGCCTAGCTGACTCGGCCAGTGTCACGGTAACTGGTTTATTTAGCTGTATTTATAATAATAACCAAATGATTTTGCTTTCTTTCTCTAGAATTATAACAACAGCTGTTTGCTTTTTCCAGTGCCTATAGAATAACTAGTCTCCTTCACTCACGCAAGATAAAGCTCAGGACAACGCTAACATCTCGCCGAGAAAAATGAATTTCTTTGATGTGTGAAATAATTGTAACTGGCCTATTTCACTCACTCGATTGAACAGAAACTGGTGTCCTCAGCTCTGTGCGATAAGAAGCAGGGTCTTTTGCTGGCAATGGAATAGTAACTAGTTTATTTCACTCTCTCTACAATAATTGGTTTCTTTCCCCCAACAACCACAACAGGGTGACCAGATGTCCCGGTATTTGGGACTTGGTCTTATATAGGATTCTATTACTCGCCACCGATTTTTCACACTTGCTCTCCTCCGCTCACCCTAATCCACAACCCACTCCCCAGAAATTGACAGATCTGAAACTGACGGCAGGTCCTTCTGTGGCCTCCGGGACCCTAGTCTCTGAGCACCCACAGGGGAATCGCGGAAAGGCACTTACTTGGGTATCCCACGGCGGAGTGGAGCAGGTCCATGCCCGGTCCCGCTAGGGTTAACCCATTGACTGCGTAATGAGGCTGCTTCATATAGGACATCATGCTCAGGAACTGGCGATCCCGAAGGGGCTCCTTCTCCTGTCGCCCACCCCGGAGGACTGGGATGCTAGGTTATTCCAATCCGCTCAGCTGCCCAGGCTCGCTGCACAGTGGGGAGAGGAAAAGACACACCCAGAAATTGTGGGCACCCTCCTCTAAAAGCGGCCAGGGGGAGCTGAGGGAACGGCTCATCCAATGGTGAGAAGGCAGCATGGGGACTTCACACCTTCAAGGGACCAGGGTTGAAGGAGACTTTGGTTAACCCTTTAATCCACACTTCCCTTCCCATTAACTCAATCAAGCCCAGCAAATCTCCCCGCCCTCCCCCGCACTGGGCCAAAGACAAACTGCTGTGGGCATGGGGCAGGAGAAGCGGGTGGCTACAGGCAAGAGACACAAAGAGGCATCTCCGGAAAGGTGAAGGAACATCAGTCCATACCCCTATAAGAAAGAAGGACTCCGGTCAGTTTCCATTCAGTAGGGTGGGAACTTCGGCACAGTCCAGTTCCTTTGAGGTGTAAATCACAGATCTGCTGAAGAAGTGTGGGGGAAGCGTAGGGGCGGGTTGGGTTTTTGGCTGATTGTATCAGGCTGGATCCTCAGCTGGTGTGAACCAGACCAGATTTGCTCGTTAACACCAGCTGAGGGTCTAGAACTGGGGATGCAGCTGTTCCGATTTAGGCCAGCTGGGGGTGTGGGCCCAGGATCATCCGGGCTTCCAGGGCATAGGCTAGTGAAGAAATGTACAAAGTTGGAAGACCAGGATTTTGCGAACAGAATAATTTCATGTGGTCAGGTGACCAGAGCGAGACCCTGTGGGGGTGGGACCAGTTCCCTAGGGGACAGGGCCCTGGATGGAGATGCTGAAAACCTGGTTCTAGTCCCAGTTCTGCCAGTGAACTGGTGTGTAAGTCGCTGCCCCATTTAGTGCCTCAGTTTCCCCTCCCACTCCTTGTCTATTGTGATTGTCAGCTCTTTGGGGCACGGATTGTCTGTCACTCTTTGTGCAGTATCTGGCACGATGGGGCCCTGATCTTGGCCGGGGTCTGGGCAATGCCCGGCACGACAGGGCCCTGATCTCGGTCGGGGTCTGGGCAGTGCCCGGCCCGACGGGTCCTCGATCTCGGTCGGGGTCTGGGCAGCACCCGGCACGACGGGTCCCCAATCTCGGTTGCGGTCTGGGCAGCGCCTGGCACAATGGGGCCCCGATCTCGGTCTGGGCCTTTAGGGGCCAGCATAATACAAATAAATCAGTTCCATGCCAAAGAACCCTCGGGCAATCAATCTAAGAAGAGCTCTCTGTGAAAGGCAACTGGTGTCAGACTATAGACAAGGCCCCACTACCGCTGGCCTTCCCTTAGAAAATATTGCCAAAATGCCCAACCTGGCCCACCCCACATGTTAATTTCCCCCCAAGAGGTAGCAACTTTGGGAGCCCTCGTGCGGCTGAACCTTGAGCATTTTAGAGTCATCTGCTCGGAGCAGATCTGATCGTGGCAATGCTGCTGCTTACGTAGGCGGTTTTGGTCTAATTCCTCACCCAGTCACACTGTCACGGACACGGCATGAGGGTGCGAGCACTTCGTGCAAACGGCTCACGATTGTTTGAGCACCGAACAGCGGCTGAAAACCAGGAGGCTGTTTTGCTAGTGTAGACAAGAACTTGCTTTCTTGTTTCCTTTTGCCTTCACTTGCTGCTGTTGTCTGAGCCATTCCATCCCCAGACGGATTTAGGAAAGGAGAGGGAAACCGCGCCACTCCTCCACCGCTCTGTCAGTACCATTCCAACTCCCTCCAGGGGAACAAGAGAATTCGTGCCAGGCCAAGCCACATTTTATTGCACTCATTCTGGTTAATAATAGGGCTGGTGATGAGCACGGCCCAGAAAACGCTCATAAATCACGAACGGATTCGATGCCTTTCCTTAGCCAGGTCTGAGGCTGCCGAACTAGAGCCCCGAGACATGGGTTCCAACAAGCAAAACCGAATGAAATAAAACAAAAATTAGCCCTGCTGGGAAGTTTCCATAGGAGAAGAGCCATTTAACAGAATCCCCTTCCCTCTCCTCCCGGCTTCCTAAATGTTGTGGATTCGGATCAACCCGAGTCCAGAGCTCAGCTGGACTTGAAAAATCAAAACACATCCCAGATTTTCACTTCTTTCTGGTTTGGATTGGGAGGGTCTATAAAAGACCCACAGGGGGAGATTTCTGAGAGCAGAGGGCTCTTTCATCTAGGAGACAAAGATAAAATGAGATCCTGGGCTTCATTTGTACAGCACCTGGCGCAATGGAGCCTGGACCACGGTGCTACCGTAATACACCTAAAGCAATAAAAACGTACAGCGCCTGGCACAGTAGGGGTCTGGCCCATGCCTGGGGCGCCTATGTGTTACCGTAATACACCTAATAGAAACAAAAATGTACAGCACCTGGCACAATGGAGCCTGGACCATGGTGCTATCATAATATACCTAATGGAAACAAAAATGTACAGCGCCTGGCACAGTGGGGGCCTGACCCATGCCTGGTGCCCCAGGGGCTATCACAATAAAACTAAAAGAAAGATACGGTGGCTGAAAGTTGTCTGGAAACAAGAGACACCTTTTTAACAGCAAGAGCAGTTAACCTACCATTGCCAAGCCCAAGCATTAAAAATATCAGGCGTCAGGCTCCAAAAAAAAACCCCAAAACAAATCACAAGATTGGCTTAAGAAATCATGAGATCTTCAAAGCCTCACAGAATGTGGGGGCCTTTTTATTTCATTTTCTGGGGTTGGAGCCTTTACAGGTCACGTTTACAGACTGTTCTCCACAGCCCTGCGAGCTAGAAACAAAACCGGCAAGCCGAACTCGGAAAACCCACCTCATTCCCGGGGCCCCGCGACTGCAGATTGGCCACGCTGGGACACCCTCCCAAGGGACTGGGGGATTTTCCACCCAACCTCAGAATCGAGCTGGGGTGTCTTTCTAAAAGACGCCCGCCAGTTATGGAGTCTGGCGCGGGAATTGCTGTTTGAATTTCTCGGCTCGGGGAAGCGTAGGGAAGATCTTAATGGTTCCTTCTGGCCTTAAAACTTATTCATCAGAATAAATCCCGAAATGCCACGAAGATGGGTTTTTATTCATCTGGGGGCTGCTATTTTTGCCTTGAGCCAGGATTTCTGGTCTGTGCTGATTTTGGGTGAGGACAGAGGGGTCCAGTTAATTCCTTATTCTCTCCATGAAAACAAACAGTGGGTAATCTCAAAAAATAGTGAGGGTTAAACCAAACTTCCTCCTAAAACAGCCCCTTGACTGCAATTTGCCATCCTCTGTCATTAGCTGCCTTGCATGGTAAGTTTCTGAGGGCACTTGTAAACAAGGGGAGGGGTGGGGGGGAATGAACTGATAGACTGACAGTTAGCAACTCATTTGCACCTTAGCTTCTAATGCTGCATGTTGACTCTGGAGTGAAGTCTGTAAACAGGGCATTGATGAATTTTTGCATTTCCAGATTCGATCAGAGGAAAAACTAGTCTGAGCAAAAAACCAAAACCAAACAAACCCCCCCCCCCCCACACACACACAAATAAATCAAAAATAGAGCCCATTAGAGGAGGAAAATCCAGGAAGAGCCTTTTAGAACAAATTGATGTATTAAGGGGAAAACTCTTTGGATCACTTGATGTTTCCCTGTTCTGTTCATTCCCTCGGGGGCACCTGGCATTGGCCACTGTCGGAAGACAGGACACTGAGCTAGATGGACTTTGATCTGACCCAGTCTGGTGGATCTTATTTTCTTAACATGCATTGGAATGTATTTTCAAAAACCCATTTTTTTTCTCCTTTTGGCTGACAGACGTAGGGTAAAATTTGCAAAAGCGTCTAAGTGATACTGTAGAGGAATTTAAAGTCCAATTTTTCACAAGGGCCTCCAAAGTCAAAGTCACTTGGGTGCTATTGAAAATGTGACCCCGAGTTATGGATGATTATTATTACCTAGTTCTTGTATAGCACTTTTCATCAGTAGCTCTCAAATCTGAAATGACAGTGATCTAAGGTGATTCTGTTAATAAATTTCCCCCCCAAACAGAACCAGTTTAAATGCCCATGTTTTTTCTTCCAAATCTTTTATACAAATAATTCTGGTGATTTCGCTGACAAGTCAACAAAATCCACTTTAACTAAAACCACTAGAGATAGATAATCTGGGAAAGCACTGAGATCGATTTAAAATAATGGATTTTGCAGAATGGCCAGGCAGGGAAACAGAAAACATGGTTTTGAGTGTTGAAAAAACACTTTAAATAGCTCAAAGCATTTGAAAGAGGTTTTGATGATTTTGCAAAACCTGTATGAATGACATTCAGATCTTTTCTTTTCTTCCTAGTTCATAACGTGATTTGCGAAATCAAGTTTTCCTCTTTGAGGGGATAATAGGTTATTTTACCCAAAGGAACAACTGAATAAAAGATCTTTTAGCAGTGTTGTGTCTGAAATGTTTTGGTAGCATTTAGCTTGTTTCTGGCACAAAACAAGCCATGAATCGCTGAAGAATTGCAGAATGCCACAATTTGATCCCAAAAGGTATGAATGTATTTTTCTCTCTAGAGATAGATCGCAATGTATATATATTTATATATAGACACATTATTATTTGATTATTATTAGAAAGTCATCAGTTTTGTTTATGTTAAATATGCATATTGAAATATACTCTCCGGAATTCTATAATTATTATTTAAATGAACAAAGCAAGATGCATGCATCCTTTGTCAGGAAGCAAACGAAATAACTGAGCTGAACTGTAGAATATTGTTACAATTCATAGCAATGCAATTGTAGTACAACCAATATTCTGATCATTCTTTCCCCTTCTCTCAGTTAATTAATAGGAATTTAGATAAATCACATCTCCCGGAGAGTTTAAACTTAGACCTTAAAACAGAATAATAAAGATTTAGTTTTGAAGAGCTTTTTATGCATCATTTTTCGTTTGCGTTTTATGTATTGAAGGTAACTT